GTTATCTCATACAACTTCGTAACGTGACATAACTCAGAGTTTCTTAGGGAAGTGTGGCAAGGACTCTCTCTTCGGACGCCTCCATGGCACATCGTGTGACAGCATAAGATGAAGCTTCATGGTGAATATCGTGATGGCTCGGAAATTCCTTTAATAAAATTCTGTTACCTTTCTGACCTCCCCAAAGATTATCTACTCATGCCTCTGACATGGACAATACCAAGTCTGAGCCTTTGGATCAGATGCGAAGGCAATGTCAAAGCATAGGGCAGTTATAATTTTGTCAGTAAGCCCAGAAAGAACAGCAACCTCCAGTAACTGTTGCATAGCTTCCATGAGAGAAACAGCAGATGAAGATCCCCCAAGGAGGATGAGCAGAATATTGAGATCCTGTAACTACAGGTTTCACTGTCATTTTCTTCAATTCTCTGACACAAAGTACAGGCACCGATTAAGGATGTCCTGGGCCATTCACGAGGAATGGTGTCATTTCCTAGAGCTGGTTTTGCACACTGAAGGATTGAGTGGCAATCCCATCGCAGTGGCCATAAAAAGAACAATCAGGAACCTGTGTTGCAGCTCCAAATTCTCGACCCATCAACGCATCCAGGATATCACTGCTATCACTTTCTCCAGATTCCATGCGTTTATATCCTTCTCTTGTGATGGGGAGTGTCAAGCAGCTCTGGGATTGGCATTTTCCACTATTGATGGCTTCTCTTAGTACAAGGCACTGTTAACTCTACCCAGATTTATAAAATCATGAGACAAGAAAGGTGAGATGCTTTACTTCTTACATTGTTTCACATTATAAAGCAAAATGCATGTTAAATGTCAAGATCTTTGTAATATTTCACTTCTGAACAATTTCAAGTTAATAGCATCTTAGTTTAAATTATGTTAATTTTGACTAATAAGGGATTCATTATCACCAACAAACAGGCTTTCTGGAAAATTATCTAGGTCCATTTGCTGGATCCAGGCAAAGAGAAAAACAGATTGGTATTTCTCACCCACCGTATCAACTCAAGCCAACAGGGCTCATTGCTGCATGTTAGAGAAATTCAGCTTACAATGTTGGTGTGGCTTCACTTCACTGAAATAGCCATGTCGAGGTCTTTGGGACCAACGCAGTTTGTCATGAGATATGAAGTATTTGAAACAGTGTTGCATAGAATTTTCTTTCTGAAATTAGTGCTAGCTAGTTCAACAAATATTAACTTGTACACTAAAGCCAGGCCTAAATTCAAGGCCATGTTTACATGATTTATTATTGACATGAGGAGTGAAAGAAATGCAGAATTTCAATAAAAATTATTTTGTTAAAATTGTGCATCCGAAAACTCCAATTTGTTAACTTACAGATAACCTCAACTAAATAGAGTGCTCATTAATCCATCTTCTGGAAGACAAGAGAAATACATTTGAGGCACACTGGAGATCACAGAATCAAATGCACATATGGGTCACTGTGACAGGCTGTTATATAAGACATGGGCAATAAAAAGGTAAATTTCTAGTGCAGTCTTCACTTAATTGAGTGACTGTCTTGCTAAACCCAGGAGAATACTGATTGTAGACACAGAATTTGAAATGATAGATTCCACTGATGTCAGAAAAAAATACCGTGACCGGTAAATTTAAGACAAAAATATGGTCACAAAGTTCTTTTCCTATTCACACAATAACTGCAGCGCATTTAAGCAGATTTGATTAGTCCATCGTTATTGCATGACTGTTCTAAATAAATTACCAGTGTCTCACCAAGAACCTACAAATGAATTTGAAATCTATGCTATTACATTACTAAGGCCTACAATTATTAATTGGAGCATTGTGTTGTTTGCCGCATTTATAATAGATTCTGAATTATGTAAATTATTTTCTGGAACATTGTGATGGTTTTTTTCCAAATGAACCAAGGTCATTGACTTGTATTTCTAATTGGTGAGCTCCCAACCCTAACAAATGGGAAAGCCTAAAGGAAAAGAATACTTTGATCTAAATTAAAGACTGAATTTAAATTATGGATGTACCCCTAATGATCTAAACTTGCTTTGTTGTCTGAAGGTCGCTGGCTGTAAATTACACCTAAGCCTCCCTGTTTACAGATGAAGAATTGCCTTATTTATAATGCTTCAGCTGACAGATCTGGTTTAACCAAATCGATACTCACTGCGGTGCTGTGAAGAAAAATGTCCCAAAGCTTTTCTTTTTTGCCCCACAAGTGATTGCACCTCTGCGACTGGGACTAAATACATTTGAAAGGTTTTTGTGTGGGTATCTTTCACAAAACATCAAGATTGATTCACAAGCCTATTTTTTCTGACTTACAATACATTTTTTTATTTTTAACTATGATAATAAATTTATAAAATGCATGAAAAATCAATTTCTCAGAGAGTAGGGCTATTCATCAAAGAAAGTATTGATTTATCGGAAATGTTACCTTGTTTTGCAGAGTTTGAAGTCCCACTAAACAGAAGCTGTAATTATAGCCTTATTCCACATTTCATGGAGGAGCATAACAGTTTATTGCTTTTTAATATAATTTCTATTATTCCCAAAACTTTAATTAAATGGAATACTTTGGAAAAAATGAACTCTATATATGTAATGCTTTTCATGTCTTTAGGGACATTCTAAAGTCCTGTCATGTATAGTGACTGTTTTTGTAGTATTGTCATTGCTGTTATGTACTATACATGCCAATGATTTGACACGTAACAAGAACCACAAATGGCAGTGAGATCAAAGACAATTTAATCTCTTTCTGAAGGTGTTAATTGAAGGATAGAAATATTATCCAGGGTTCAACAACAACACTGTTCTTCTTTAGTACTATCTTTGGATCTATAATGTCCATCTGAACCACTAAAACAGGAAGGCAGCACCTTAGTTTAACTTTAGAACTGCACTGGTGTGCTACTATGTCAGTTTATTAGGCTGATATCCTGGAAAACATGAGCCTGTGACTGTCTGTCTCACAGATAAAAGGAAAAAAACTTAAGAAATAGTAATGGGAAGAAGCAATTTGTCCCTTCAATCTATTTTGCCATTCATGAAGATTATAACTGACTTTTTAGCTCAGCTCTACCTTCCTATATTACCCAGATATCAGTGTACAAGAACACTCAGATCTCTATTTATACCAACAAGTTCCAAACCCTCATTATTTAATAAAGCCTAGTATCATGAACAGTATTTTTAAATCATTCATGGCCCACTCCAAGTTGCCCTTGAGAAGGTGGCGATGAACTAAAAAGGTGTTTATCAATGCTCAGAGTCTAGACTCAAAGAATAATATTGTAAAGTGAACGGTGCTCAATAGCCTCACAACAGCTTTAATATTGAATCAAGTTCTTTCGCACAGTACACAAAGTTACATCATAGTTGCATGCTCATGAGTTCCAAGAAATCCATGAGCTGGCGTCATGATTATATATCACTAAAACCAACTTCCAGATAGAGAAGGTAACAATGGGAAGGGGTCACGGCAGTCCTAATCAAAAAACTAGTACATCACTGGAAAGATTTGATGCACGTGAGGATACATAGAAGAATTAAATGTGTTAGGGACAGTTAAGGAGCTATTAGGTTACTGGGCAGGTAATATAGACCATCAAACAGTGGTAAGGTTTAAAAACAAATATGGGGCAAATTATAAAAGAATGCAAAAACTAGAATACTGATAACTGGGCATTTTCAATAATAGAGACTGGGATAGTAACACAGTAAAAGAATTTTTGGTCATCAGTGCATTTCTAACTCAAACAGGAATGAGGCAGGGCTATATCTAATTCTGTGAAATGAAGTAAAGCAAGTGGAGCATGTTTTAGTAGGAAAGCATTTGGGAACATCAGGAATATAAAGTGTAGCATAGTTATGGACAAGGATAAAACACAACTGAGTATAAAAATTCTCAACTGTAAAAAGAATAACTTCAGTTGAAAAGGGATCTGGCCCAGAGGGACTATAATCAAAAACTAGCAAGCCAAACAAGAACTGAACAAGAAGTGTTCAAAGAGGAAGTGGTGTAAGGTATTTAACTGCCAAAGTTGATACATTTTCTTAGGATAAAAGAAACACATAAAAGCTACAAAGAAGGTGACAACAAAATCTGAGGTATTAAAAAATCACTGACGGGTTGATATAGTAACTAAGAAGCAAATATCTATTGGCAGAAGAGTTGGTAACAAAAGGACACAGATTTAAGATCATTGGTAAAGCAGTGACAGAATTCAAGAGGAAGAAAGGTTTTACATTGAGTTTTTGAGCTCTAAAATGCACTGCCCGAAAGAGTGCGAGAAGCAGATGAAGTGCTAACTTTCAAACGAAAGCTGGGCAAATATTTGATATGGTGAAATATATTACAATACTTTTAGGAAAGGGCATAGGAGTGAGATTAATTGAATAGTTCAAATAACTAGCGGGCTAAGCCCAAATGTCTGAACAGCCTGTCTGCACTATAAGATTTTATGTTTCCACGTTGAACCTCAAGGTAATTACAAATTGGGTTTGCTATTCTACCAGCAGGACAAGGCAGAGGATTTAAACCATGTCAAACATTAAAGATATTCCCATTTTGCTTGTGTCACAAATGCAAAACACACTGGATTTTCTGCATCTACATGATCTTATGAGCCATTATTTACCATCATCTTCCATCAAAAAAAGCAACTGTACTTGATCATATTCCATTTAGAAAATGGAAACTCTATCATAAATTCCACTGAATTATTCTGAGACAGATATGTAAGCATTTTCCCATACCTATAGTAGCCTGGTGGAGCATGCTGGATCAGAAAGTTTTTCTCTAGGTTCTGCAGTACATCATTGAGCATTCTCAGATGGGCAGGATCTCTTTCCTCTGGATCATTAGCTGGACGCATTTCATCTGACTGAAAAAGTTGTGCAGTTTCTCTCAACATGTTGGCCAATTCCAGCATTTGCTCTGAAGCAATGTTGTCATCTTTGAAAAACAAAATATATAATTGAGAATTGTATCAATAGTCATAATCTATACAACGACAGTACAAAGCATGGAATAAGTACCATCCTCATAACATTTTAATGCTGACAAGAAATATTTGCTCATTGTGGAATGATTTACAGGAAATGTCAAATTCAAGAATATCCACACAGCACAACTAAATAACATTCAAGAAACTATTTAGAAAATAATTGTTCACGTCAATTAATTCCACCATGATACACTGGAGATAGCAGGGAATGAAAACATTGATCATCAGTAACTTAGGGCAACAAAGAATGAAAATGATATACAGCAATGTTTTCATACTCAAAATTTAAATTAACAATTATGTAACTGCACCGTCAAGAGGAAATAAGTTTAGAAAGAAACATAACCTTTGAGTTTCTCTTGAATCTCCAGGGCTACATCCAGGACACTGAAAGGGAGAACTGGCTCATTTGCTATACGCAGAATCATTTCAGCTGTCAACTGCAATGAACAAATCAACAGGTATAGTCCAGGGAAAGATCTGCAGGCAAATTATTTTATTATGTACAGTAATGATAACATATAAATATTTTAAAGAGAGCTGTACTTAACTGTACATTATCACTGCCATAATGAACAGAGACAGAAAAGTGAGTCTGATTTTTCTTCTTCATAAAATGTGTGCCAAAAGACTAGAGGTCAGAGGAAAAGCAGCAGGAATAGACTGAAAACAAGAGGCTGTGATAAAATAACAGGGTCAGACCAGGAATCGAAGACTGTGATAAAAGAGCCAGTGATCCGGAATTGACAGGTGTTATAAAGGAACACAGTGTAGTTTCAGAAGGAGGCCAGAAACCTGAGCCTCTGACAGAGGAACCAGAATGGAGCAGAAGTAGACTGGGAATCAGAGACTGTGAGAAAACTGCAGGAACCAGAAACAGTGGCAGGATATCAGAGTGACATCACGATGAGGAGGGGCAAATGCGGAGGATTTAAGGTGACATTTAACCCTAACTCTATCACACTCACAACGTAAAAGCATAAGAAACAGGAGAAGGAATAGACTTAGCCCTTTGAGACCGATTCACAATTCATTGAGATCATGGCTTATCTTCTACTTCAGCACCATTACTTCCCTTGATGTAGAATTCTATTGATGCCAACCTTGAACATACTCAATGTCTGGGCCACAAATTCCGAAGAGCCACTACCCCCTGGTTTACTATTTTGCCTAATTGGGAGTAAGCTCAAAATCACTTTGCCATACCTTCCAGTACAAAACCAAGTTGATATATCAATGAATTACGAAACATTCTCCATACTCCATTCAAGCTGTTGTTTCATTAATATTAATTAAAAGTGCAAGTGGCTTCCCACAGGTACACTCTATAAATAGGCCAATATTGTCACAATCAGTCACTGCCATTGCAAGTACAAACTGAAGGAACACTAATAGAAGGGTGAAATGCTTCACTGACCACAATGCTCCTTGTTATTTTGATCTCTTTAATTCATTTTTCAAATTGGGTACGAATTGACTAATTAAGGATGATTCCTAGGTCCTTACTGAATGATGTGGATCAAAGCCACCGCATTTTGCAATTTTATATTTTTTAATTCATACAGGCAAAGTGAATGAAAAGATTGCCAATTTCAATTAATGGCATTTAAAATGGTGTCATTTGCTCTTTAAAAGTTACTTAATTTATTTATCATAGCTATGGAACAAACTCAAAACTTAATGATATGTTCAATAAAAATAATACCACTTTACAAATGCACATTGTTGGACTAGCATTGGAAAAATTCTGAAGCAAGTAACAAAATTGAGATTTTCAGGCAACAAATGCTTGAATGTGCTTGGACGGTCATCTTAAAAGTTAAGTATCCACTAACTGTACCGGGTCCATTAAATTTAAAGAATTAATATGAATAGTAAAATGCAACATATCAGAAAGCTAAGGTGACATCGTTTTAATAAGTCACAAAGAAGCTAACAACTTTACAATAAATACGACTGCAAGGCAACTAAGTGTGACATCATAGAGGAATTATGTTAGAACTTCATCCCATAAAAAGGATATATTTTTCTCCTAAACTTCATCAGGCATTTCATTTTGCTCTGTATGAAAAGCAGCAAACTTTTAAAAAAACTTCATGGTGAAATGCAAATTAATTTGTAGGCAGAGCAGAATATGCTCTCAGCCACCTAACGGCTGCAGGCCCAAATGTATTTGGCATTTGGATTAAAATAATGGATATCTTAAAAACAAGTGTCAGAAATGGTAAAGAATAAATATATGGAAAATTTGACCTGTTACTTCCATCCACAAAGCTATACCTTTAGTAAACTGTCAGAGAAGTTGCTGAAGCAGTACTGTCGCACGCTATACAAGCTTCTCTATGTTTGAGATTGTTATTATAGCCACATGAAAAAACTGCAAGTGCTGTTGGAACTGTGGCAAAACCATTGTAACAAAATTTAAATCAAAATCATGGAAATCTGTTGATGGGACTCTTTATTCAGTATAGCATCACACAGCAAAACTTTCAACAGCATTGAGGATTGTGAATTAGGCTGTCACCAGGGATTAATATACCTCCATGGATACAATCCCATACTGGCTTCCCCTCATGGATTGTGCTACCCATGTGGTTTGGGCATCAGGGTTCTGTCATGCACTGTAAAAACTGCACACTTAGATTACACCATCCCTACTTTAAGTCTGCTACATCTGTTTCTGCTTTTTCTAAGAGTGACTACTGTCTGACTCAGGAATTTCTACAAACTCTTATTTACATTCTATTATACAGAATATTGGTCTTTATATCACAGCTCTCTAGACAGGATGGAATAACTATTCAAATATCAATAGTATGTGACTGCTGATATCAGAGTTTCATCATGCTATTATTAACATAAGTTCTCATTACATCATTACTTGTGGTTTTGATCTTCTCAACACAATCAGGTCAGAAAAACCTTTTTTACAGAGTGCTAGATCAGATGCCATAATTCTTAGCTTATGCTTAAAATATACTTTTAAAATAAATGAGCAAGTGTAGATCTCCATTCTGCATGCTCATTGCTAAGGAATGAATCACAGCAAAGTGGAAATAAAATCAATAAACAGTTTGCTAGCTTGAGTATAAGTGAAAAGTAAATGTTCCAATGAAGGGTCAAATTCAACTCAAAATATTAACTCTCTTTCTGTCTCCACAAATGCTGCCAAACCTGCTGAGATTTTTCGGTAATTTCTATTTATATTTCAGATTTCCAGCATCAACAATATTTTGCTTTTATGAATGTTTCATTATTTTGACTGGATCATGGTTTGGAATGTAAGTGGTGCCTTTTTCTTTAAAACTATATGCTCCTTCAGAGAAGCACTTTTTCAATGAGCACTTGTCTGTATAGTAAAAGGTACATTTTCAAAGATGGCTCTCCCATTAACTTTCAACTATCCAAAAATCAGGATATTAATGTACTCTAATAAATGGCAAGTCATTTCCGCATCACATAACTGCCAAGCAATGGCCACCTCCAACAAATGAAAACCTAAACATCTCATCCCCACATGCAATTGCTTTGCTATCACTGAATTCCCTACCATCAGAATTCTGACGTTCACCACTCACCCGAAATTAAACTGGATGAGGTATAATTGTTACAATCATTGTGGCTACAAGGTTTTCAGTTTGGATTGTTCCAGGGTTACTCAGCCCTTGGCTCATTTCAGCCTTCTTCCAACATGGATAAAAGAACTCAACTCAAGTGCTAAGGTGGGAGTGACCACTTATAACATCAGGACGATAAGGAGTCCTGGAAAAACTGAAGGCCCTGGGAAATAAAGGGAAAACTCTTCACTGGTTGGAAGGTATTTTCAAAACAACTTGTTCATAAATGTTAGTATGCACCTCCAGAACAGGCGGACTTTGAACCTGAGCCTCATAGTTCAGGGGTAGGGATACTACCACTGTGCCATGAGAGGCGTCAATCACTGGTTGGAATATATTTTCTAATCAACTTGTTTAGAGGTGTTATGACACACCTCTGGAGCAGGTAGGATTGAAATCTGGGCTTTGTGGCTTACAGGCCAGCACAGTATCACTGCACCACAAGGGCACTCAATCACCTGTTTGGATCATACCTAGCAGAAATGAAAAGTCTGTTGAAGGCCAATATTCTTAGCCCCAGAACTTTGATGCAGGAGTTCCTCCGGGTAATAATTTAGGCTCAACTATTTTTGATTGCACCAATGACTGGTTTCCATCTTAATGTTAGAAGTGAGGATATCAACTGAAGCTTGCACAGCATCCAGTGCTATTTGCAACTTCTAAGATACTGAAGCAGTCTGTTTGTATGCACCAAGACCAAGGTAACATTCAAGCTAGAGTTGATAAGTGACAAATAACAGATATATGCCAGAAAATGACCATCCCCAATAAGAGAAACCAACAATCTCCTCTTGATATTTAATGGCACTATTATTGCTGAATATCCTACCATCAATACCTGGTAATTATAATTGACCAGTAACAACAATGCTACATATGCAAGTACTGTATACTACAGGGCAGGTCAGAATCTTGGAATTCTGAGGTGAATAATTCACATTCTGACTCCCAAAAGACTGTCCACCACCTGCAAGGCACAAGCAAGGAGTGTAATGGAATATTCTCTTGCCTAGATGAATACAACTCCACAAAATCCAGGGAGCTTCACACCATCTAGGACAAGGCATCCAGCTTGATCAGCACTCTATCTACCACATTCAGCAGTCAGTCCCTCTACAACTAGAATGCATCAACAGTGATATGTAACATTTATAAAATGGCAACTTATCAAGGCTTCTTCTCTTGTAACGCTAATATTGACAAGATCAAGTATAGCAGGCCCCTCTAAGTCACACAGCATCCTAACTTTGAAATATATCTTTGCACCTTCATGACTGCTGTGCCAAACTTTTGAAACTGCATATCAAGTCCCTTCGCCACATGGTTTAAGAAGTGCCTTCTCAAGAGAATTCAGGATGGACAATAAATGTTGGCCTTGCAAGTGAAAGCCATGGCACATGAGTGAATATAAAAAAAATCCTGTCTTCACTTGGTAAGTGACTCATATGTTTTGAAATTATTCAAATTATTTCAGTATAATGTGTTCAGTTCAACCAGTCACGATTTGTCTTTCCTAATAAGAATTGTTGGGTAATATGGAAAAAGCAGGGTGGGCTTTTTGTGGCATATGTAAAAGAATCATAAATTCATTTTAAAATGTTTATAATGTCAAAGCACATATTGATTAAAGCTGTTCTTTCCCCATAGTTCCCTTGAAAGCTATTCCTTTCAGATCATTCTCAATGAAGTAATATAACTAACATAGCCTGAACTAGTTACAAGAAATAAAAGGTTCTAATCATATATAATCCGCCAGTAATTTTAATAGAATAATTCATCATGGCAATCTAAAATTAAGTTTACATAGAAGATTTTCATTCTGA